ATCCTATGGTGAAATTTTATATTCAACATAAGTTCATAACAATTTATGAGTTTGAACCTTTGTTAGGAATTGCTTTTTTTGATACTTGATCATCTCTGATTAATTTCCATATGGTACAAAGAGCTGTGAAGAATAGTAAGGGCGATGAGTACAAGAGGACAAAGACATGTATGCAAAGAGGACCTGGCATGTGTTTGTGGAGGGACCAGGGACCTTGACAAAGAGGAAAAACAAAAACAAAAAAACTCAAACTAGAAGTAAAGTCTTTGGCAAAGACTCCATACAGAGAAAGAGGAAGAAAACAAAAGGAACAAAAATGGAGAAAGAAAAGCACAGAGACGTTAAGTTTTTTATCTGAGTTCCAGAATGGCTAATGGCCACTCCCAAGACACAGAAGAAATAGAGGCCTAACTATGCCAAGTCTCCTGCCCAGACTCAGAATACTGCTCCTTATCCTGTGAGGTGGGGACACTGAGAGAGCCCACCTGTCCAGAATGGCCATCATCTGAAGAGCCCCAAATACTACCTGGCATAGTTTAATAGTTAATTTACAGAGAGTGAGAAGGGGTCCCTCTCACTTTTCTGAGGTGTTCATAGTCTAATGCATGCAACCAATAAAAGTAAAAATTAGACAGGCTAATATCTCATATTTTGCACACTGACTTCCAATTTTAAAGAAAGCAAGGCCTTGAAACCTTAGACTCAGATACAACAAAGCCAGGTTTTTCACAGCCCTGAAATGTATATAGTGATGAGTACAGCACAGGACAGCCCCATGTCTGAAATGACTGGCACAGATCATCGGAGTTACCAGTTCCTCAAGCCTTACCACCTGAGAGGCCAAGAAAAAAAGCCCAGGGAGAAGGTGAGGGTGGCTTGTCCTCAGAACACGGGCCACTTCACTGTCACCTCACTAGGAGCTTCCTGAGCTAGCTGTAACTCCTGGTGCAGGCACACTCACGAATCCAATCAAGACAGGGTTACTACTCTACAGATATTTATCACTTTACACAACTGTAAAGCTAGGAAACCATGAATTAATCCAGCAGACTAGGATTCATTAACAAATTTCTGGGCCTCTACTTGCTGGCTAAGTGAAGGCTGCTATTAGCCTGTCTGCTGCCCTCAAAGTGGAACATGGTTCTCTCTAGACAAATAAATTCTAAAGGGAGGCCTCCCTCCCAATGCCCACCTTGGCAAGCATCCATACCCGGAGGTCTCTGCTTGCAGCAGTAAACAGGGTGAAGGCCACTCTTCAGAAAGCTCAGATTCTGACAGAGTGAAGCAGAGATGTTCAAGTTCCTCCGTGAGTTTGGGAGATCTGACTCCCAAATGCTGCAGTTAACATGCCCCACCTAAACCCCCACCTCACTAAACTGCACTGCACTCATCAGCCCCTCCATGAGCCTGGGGAGTTACCCACGCCGGCACAGAGTTCTAGTGCATTTTCAGGCATGAAACAAACACTGATTAAAATAGCTCAAGAAATGGATGTCTAAATATCACCTTATGATGACTGGCCAAATAAATATGTTTCTCCTAAGAATATTTACAACTAACCTGTTTGATGCTCAAGACATCTCTGACCTTGAAGGCATTTGCCTAAGGTATGTTTTCCTAGTGCAACGGTACTGAAGACCTCCTGGCACCCAACAGTATCACAGTGAAAAGCACCATTCACACGGGGAGGACAAAGGTATTGAGTTGAGAACCTGCTGCATAGCAGCAAGGCAAAAGCAGATACTACAGAGTAGGCAGTACTTATGCACACACACACACACTCACTCAAGGACGTAGGGTGGCCTCAAGGCAGGGCCTCATGACAGATCCTGCAGGAGCTGCTGTCATCACAGAGGTGACAGCTCCAAGAAAGTCAGTTCTGTGCAAAGATCCCTGAAGACCTTCCATGGGGACAAGGTGTAGAAGCAGAAAACTGGGCCACTGGTGCTCCTGACCCCGTCTCAGCTAGTGTGTGTGCCTTCAGTTTTTAATCAAACAAAGAATCATAAAGCAAAGAAACAGAAAACTGACAGCATTAAGAGTGAAAACAAAGTATCTTCAGACAGTTGTAGAATGTGCTAGTTGTTATTACAAGAATCAAAAAGTCAAGTTTCCTTTTCATTTATACATGAAAAGGTAAGCTTAGTATGCTAATGTTAATTTATTATTGAATGAAAAACAGCTTTTGTAAGCATAGCCTGACCATACAGTATCCACACACAGGTCCACACAGGGACCACACCTTTGTCCCCATGCCCAGGCCCGATCATCAGGGTCACCCACTGCACTCTCACTCACCCAGAGCAGCTTCGAGGTCCCCAAACTCCACACACAGCAAGGGGCTTAGACGGATGTACCATTTTTACCCCATTCTTTCCCCTTTTTAGATATACAAATAAAACTGTTACAATTCATCAGCTCAGATTCTTAAATTGCTTAATTCCTAAAAACTGAATATGGGGGTTGAAAAAAACTGGCAACAGTAAAAGATTTCTAAACACGCACAGACCAAAAATTAATTGAAAACCAAGTGTACAATGAATTCAAGGTGCTGGCGAGGAGCAGTGCTTACTGGTGCTACAGCAGGCCTTGTTGTAGCCTTGGCTTTGGGCACAAAACAAGTGCACTTTCTACGGCACAGGCCATCACACCCTCAGGGACCCTGCCGGAGACACCTTGGGATTCCCACAACTAGACTAAAAGATTGCCAGGATACACTGCTAAAAGTCTTCTGCTCCTCTAGAAACATGTAACAACTTAATATATTTCAACCACAGCATGTATGTATCAAATTAGTGTTGACCTTTGTGTTGTTAGCGTTAAAATATTTGATTTTAAAAATTGCTGTTTCAGTTCCTGACTTAAGTTTTTGTTAAAAAATAGAGAGAGACAGACAGACAGACAGAAAATTTCCAACAATTTCTGACATACTCCTAACCATACTTCTGCCAAGTGGTACTATGTACTATGTAGTAGTCCAGCGTTCTCAGCTCCAAAAACCATCACTTCAAAGCATCGATGAACTGAAAATATTACATAGACTCTACATCCTCCTGTGTCAAATATTCAGCTGCGACCTACTTCCTTCCCTTAAAACTAAACAAGCATATCGAATTTAGTATTCAAATGTTCTTTTTACCATTAGTAAAATTAATGAATTTTTTTATACTTTTATGATCTGGGGCTAGAAAGATGGCTCCGTAGTTAAGAGGACTTGCTAACCTGGCAGAGGATCACAGTTCAGTTGCCAGCCCCCACACTGGACAGCTCACAGCTGCCTGTAACTGCGGGGGCTCCGACACCCTCTTCTGGCCTCTGAGGTAACTGTACCCACACATGCATATACAAACATGCAAAGTATTTTTTAATTATGTGTTAGTAAATGCCATTTTATACTTTATATTCTTATACAATCAAGAGCTTATAAAAATTTCTTCCATAAAAAGAGTTTATGAATAAAAAAAGCCTTAGTCAGCCCTTGTCTACAGACTCAATACATTTTCCTGTTTGCAGTCTAGGAGCAATAGCTTAAGCCACGTGAGCCAGGTGTGCAGTAGTCTAGACCATGTAAGATGGGTGAAGGGATGAGCACTCCGCATTTGTATAAAAGAACCACCAACAGTGCATTTCTCTGTATGTGGGTACAATATTAAGAGATGTGTCCATTTCACAGTTGTTTTATTTTGTTTAAGATTATTTGACTGAGCCAGTCTTTGCTTCACACTCCCATAATCTCTACACATACATCCATATGTTTCTTTTCATGTGTGTGAATACTGGTCTGCACATGCCACACCAGGTGTGTGGGTATCAGGACAACTTTAGGCGTCAGCGCTCACTTCCCACCTTGTCTGAAACAGCGTCTCTTGGTGTCTGGGTACACTACAATGTCTGGCCCGCAAACTTCTCCGCTTTTCCCTGTTTCCACCTCCCATTTTACCACAGACTGAGACTGCAAGGCCTGTGCTACTGCCTCCAATCTTACACGGCTGCTAGATATCTAAACTCGGGCCCTGCTGGTGGCACCGCAAGCATTTTACCAACTGAGCCATCACACGAAGTCCAATACTTCTGCACCCTTCTATACTAGAGTCAAGTGGAAATGATAACACTATTCACAGTGAATGAAACACATCAAAACAATAAAAATTGTTTCTCAGATAAGGTAAAGTGTGCTCACTTTCCCAATACGAAATATCTTTACCTTTAAGGAAAAACATTAACCTTCCAGTGTTAGTATGACAGGTCCAAGCTAGACCTTATATACAAATTTTGACAAAATGCTTCTTTGCTGAAAATAAGTCAGTTTGTTCTGACTTCTGCAAATAACTGTAAAGGTCAATTCCAATTTTCTTCATTTCTTCATCCTGATACAACTTACAGAAATAAACCTCCAACAGATATGGGAGTGTAGTGGCAAAGCTCATTGATACTGCACCTGCTTAACATAAAAGCCCAGGATTCAATCTCCCACAGAGAGAAAACATAGAGGGGGGAATTTTTTTTTCCTCGAATCAACATAAAAAGCACAATGATTCAATTATCAGAAAACATCAACTGTCCATTTCAGATTCCATAGTTCCTGAGAAGTCGCTGGGCGGTGGTGGCCCCTGCCTTTGATTCTAGCACTTGGGAAGCAGAGGCAGGCAGATCTTTATGAGTTTGAGGCCACCCTAGTCTACAGAACAAGTTCCAGAACAGCCAAGGCTTCACAGAGAAGCCCAACCTTGAAAAAAAAGAAGAAGGAGGAGAAGGAGGAGGAGGAGGAGGAGGAGGAGGAGGAGGAGGAGGAGAGAAATCTCAGAACTGTAATTGTGTGAAATTAATTCATCAAGCAGGTAAGGGACAGTTACTATATAAGACAAAGACGAATGAAGAGAAATGGAGCTGTTCATGAAGCAGCATCATTGTCTCAGGAACCCACAGCCATTGCTGGTACCAAGAAAGCAACTGATGATGAGGTCATCGGAAGCCTTTCAGCACTGAGCGCAGAGCCTTACCTCTGAGATTTCTGGGATGAATCTGCTTCGTTCGAGGCATTTTCTTAGATTTAAGAGCTCCTTTTTCTTCTTAGAAATTGTTGGAAGAGCAGGTCACAAAAGGCTGGCTCCATGTACTCGTCAGACATCAGTTAATCCACGTGCTGGAAAGAAAAAGATAAAAGCAGTCAATCTCACTACCTTCAAAAGAAACGAATATTTCAGAAGTTAGGGCTTGGAGCAGTGCTGGCCCTAACTCAATAGAAGGCAACCTTTGCAAACACCACTCGCTTTTAATGAGGCATAACAGTGGGTCATCCTACCACTTTCTAGGCCCTCTTGTCCAGAAAACAGGCAGGGGAAAAAGTCACTAGACATTGGTTAGATAAGAGTGAAAAATATTCACTTTAAAAATACATCACTGGGTACAATTAAAGCTGATGTAAGGTGACAACGAGTCATGCTGCATACACTCCGTAAGCCCATTCATAAGGGAAGCCCAACGTTCTGGTCATGTCATTTCAGTTGACTCAGTTAATACGCAGTTGCTATGGTGGCTGTTCCCCAGTGAGGGCACGCCTCCCTTCCAGGCTCATGGCAGGATTGTACATGCCTTCGACCAGCAGCTGTATACTGACCTTTGCCTAGACTACAGGCATGCCTTGCATGCTGGTGCACTGAGTTATCAAAGCAAGATCTTCCCGAGCTTTCTGTCCCCTCTGGCACAGGCCAGGCACTGTTCCAGACAGTGTATGTGACTAAAGAGTTGCATTGCCAGGAATACAATATGATCGTGCTGCCTAAACAAAAAACAGCCCTTTGTTGACTGAAGTCCCTGAAGCCTGGGAATTACTTGTTACTGCAGCATAACCTAATCCGTCTTCACCGTGCCTTTTCAAACGCAATCTGAAATGCATCATGCCAAGATGTAATGATGGAACAGGCATGTCCAACCTACCGCCCAAGGGCAGTAGGCAAGTTTAACTGAGGATTTCTATGAATGCTGCCCAACACAGAATAGTAAACTGATGTAAAACATTACAAGATTTCTTTTGTGATTTTTTTTTCGTAACTCTGTTGCAAGGTTCTTGAGCCATGACATTATGTTGCAATGTCAAAAAGTTGAACACGCCTGAAACTTAACCACCCATCTGCCCAAACCAGCGACCTCTGTCTCTTCTCTTTCATTGGATACTTTCTCGGTAATCAGTTAAAAGTTCAGCTTTAACTTCCTGCAACAATGCTGATAGGCAAAACCCATTACATTGGCACTACAGGTGAAAGGAAGTTTAATCACTAAGCAAACACAATTCACCAAGGATGCTTTGTTCCGAATCTCTCCTATCTGTTACTGTACTCAACACAGAGAACACTTAGTGGGTACCTGTCTTACTGCAGCGTTTCTACTTATCACCTAATTTAATCCTAACAACTGAGACAACAGCTCAAAATTCATTCATTTTACAGAGGGGGAAGGAAACAAGTTTTGGGGGAGAGAACAACTTGACAGCGGTTCCAATGCATCCACTTTACAGAGGTTTTAAAAAAAAAAAGTTTTGGGGAGATTATGAAACCTGCCTCAGATCAGTAACTATGGAATGTGGCCCCACAGGACTCCATGCCCCTTTCCGCAGAGAAGATAACACTTACCTACCCAACCCCTCCCAAAGGGATGAATGACACAGCAAATCATGAGGACATACTTTGGAATCACACCAGACCGGGTTCAAGGCCAGGCTTTACCCCTTACTGTGTGACCTCCTTTAAGGTACCTAACCTCTCAGAAAAGATCAGATTTCCCACGCAGTAAAACCAGGAAACAGTATCCACCTCAGACGGGCTGTTGTAAGGACTCTTAAGCTGAACAATGTAGAAGCTTTGCCTGCCACACGAAAACGCTGAAATATTAATTCCCGGGAAGAACGCCTCTAAAAGAATGTGTATCCCAGAATAAGGTTTTAGAAATGTATGCTTTCACTTCAGCTAAAACGCTTTACGGAAAAGACGGCTACAATTAACGTGCTTGCGGCTGTTATTTCTAACACGGCTGTTAGTCGGCATAGCATAAACTATTCAAAATCTAACGCAAGAGGAAGAATACGAAACACGATGGTCAGCGACGGATGATGCCTCTTGCAGCACCAGCTAATGACCTACAAAAGATAGTGCTCCCCTCCTGCTTTACCATAGAGGCATGGGCTATCGCGTTCAAGAAGGCTTTGACCGCACAGAGAGCGTAAAGAAGGCTACGAACGCCCTGCTCCTTATTAACACTAAAGCCTTTAAGCGGTCCCAATATTACGAAGTTTTTAAAGCGTGAACTCTGCTCGTAAGCCGATCACGTGATCCCACGAGCTCCGGAGCACAAATGTAAAATATGCAAATTCCCAACCTGTAACAGCTCTGGGCGACCTGGTTTAGCCGCCTCCACCCCCCTGGGTCCCTAGCTGTCCAACCCACGTTTAAATCCGCGGTGGAGAAGTGGTTATTTTCAAAGACGACAGCACCGTAGCGGGACCAGGACCAGTGATCAACCGTTCTTTCCAGGGGAAAGAAAATACATACTACAAGGTGGCGAAGAAAAAAAAAACAAAAACAAAAAAACCAGGACACGATCAAAAAGCGTAAAGACAGTCGCAAGGAGAAAAAACATGAATGAATGTGGAGGGCGGAGCCTGGGAAAACCCCTCTGCAACGCTGCACGGAACAAAGCGCCTCGCATGCCAGGAGGAGGGGGGAATGGAAGTGCCAGCTCCGGAAGGAGCCTGGAGTGGATGCGGAGAGCAGCGGGAGGAGGAGGACGGAGCGGGCTGGCGCGGCGGCCCGGAGACTCCTCCTCGCGCCGGCCTCGCCGCCGCCCCCTCCCCTCTCCAGCCGCAACTCCTGCCGGAGCCCGGCGACCCCGCGGCGAGCCCGAGCCGCCCAGCGCCCCTGCCCCACGGCGGCCCCCCGACACGCCGGCGGCGGGCGCGCGCCCCAGCCGGGAGAGAAACTCCCCGGGCGGCCCGGGAGTAGACAGGCAGCCCGGGCAAGGGACCGAAAGGGAAAGCCAGCCACAAAGCCGGGAGGTGCGGAAGCCGCGGCCTGGTCTCCCGCAGCCCCGCCGAGCCCCCTCCCGCGAGAGGCGGCGGCGGCGAGCGGCGAGCGGGAGGCCGGCCCGTCCGTACCTGCTGGGCTCGCAGGACCGCAGCTCCCGCCGCCCCGCGCGGGCCAGGACCCCGCCGAAGTGGCGAGCGGCTGGCTCCCCGCACGCAGCAGCATCCCCTCCGCAAGGTCGGCGCCGGCACACGCGCACACGCCTCTCACACGCACACCGCCCGCCCGCCCGCCCGCCCGCCAGGGGGAGGTGGTCCCGGCCCCCGCCCCCCGCGCCGCGCCGCGCTCTCCCGG